TGACAGGCTGTGGATCGGCCATCCAATCTCGTCGCGTATGCTGTCGTAAACAGCAGGTCTCCTGCTGCCTGTTTCTGGTAGCAGACAGAATGACTTACGATGAATACCAATGGCAGCAGCTGTCTCCATTTCCGACACACAATGAGACCACCAAGCTTCGAGATCCATCTTTAAGCTAGTACGTAGTTTTGCCCTGAGATTTTTACGAGTCTCATTGTATTCGCTTCCAGCCGAAATTGGTTGGCGATCATCCATAACTTCCAGAGACTGTGTAGAGACCCAATGTGCGGTTTGGCAAGTTGATTTTCCACATGAAGACATGTCTGCTGTTAGTATCGGTTGGCGAATGTGCATCACCTGATCTTCGACGGTGTTCAGTGGACGCTTACTCAGCCCGGATGTCAACACACCTTCAGAACACCTGGCTTCGCCAACAGTTTAGTGTCAATTCGTTCACATTGACGTTGCGAATGCCCACCGAAACGCACCACGTCGGCACAAACAAGTGCAATGAGAAAGTGCCGCCAGTGTAGCATGTGGGGGATCGCGTGATAAACACGGAGCTCGAATCTTACAGGCGGGTTTCTGATAAACAGCAAATATCGATCGATAAAGTCTCTAGTGTGCCAGCAAGTGCTACGTGTTGGCCAATCTGTAGCAAAGTGCGCAGGTTGAGGCATGCCAGTCTTAGCGAGACTCGAGGACTACAAAAGGAAACGGATGAAGTAGGGTTGTCTGTTTGGTTGAACCCGGACTTGTCGACTGGAATGGAGCGACGCCGTGCGACCGCGTATGAATAGAAACTAGAAGACATGCGACTAATGAAGCAAGGTTGGTGAGGGCCAAGAATTGGGGGATTGAAAACGGGAGATAAAATTGCAATTGGAGCGGGAGGATAAGGATGAAAAAGCGCAATAAGGAGATAAGAAGACGGGAAGTCCTGAGCAATAGCATCCACACCCCTATCCATCCTGCTCGATGCAGCAGTAGGGCGCCGGAAAGAACATCAAGAAAATGTTAGAAGAAAGGTTCCTTGTATTGCGTGGGCAGAATACTGTTAAGTTGAACAGGCCTAGGTAGGAGAATAATTAGGGTTCTCAACCAAAGCCTTTGGTTTAAAAACCTTACCGCAAGATAGCTGGGTTTTGGCACTGGACTACAGAGAGTCCGTTTTGTGAGTAAGGAGCCACCCCACTCCAACCTCCAACCTTGAGGGCCAGGAGACTAAGTTTGTCTGGCCTCTAACCATTGACCAATCTGGTGTGAGTGGCTCTGAAGGAGCAGAGAAGCACCACCCAGGATAGCTCAATGGATCAATGAGGCACACAAACCATCACACCACGTTAAGGTCCAGTCTGGTCGCAATGGTCGCTAAAGTTTAACAAACTAGAGTATCTGAAACCTAAGTCACGGACAGACTGGCTGATGGGAATAGCTTCATCATGAAGGCTGAACAATTCTGCTGCTATCTGACGTCCACACGCCAGAATACTACACTTTGAGGTTGCAAACGTCATCCGCCATCAATCAGCCCATCTCTCAAGGCCTTTCAACTAGCTTTGGATATTGTTAAGTTCAGCGGTATGCTGATAACTTGAAATGGTGTGCACAACCTTAAGATTATCAGCAAACAAAAGTCTTGCTAAATTCTATAACAAAACAAGGTCATTTATATACAGTAGGAAGAGTAATGGACCTAAAACATTGCCCTGTACCACTCTACTGGTGACCAGACGAGGTGAAGAGATGTAACCATTGACGTCCACAACTTGCGACCGTCCTAGTAGGTTACAATTGGACCCAAGTGTGAAGCGGATTTTTCACACCATATTCACTTTATTTATATAGCAGCCTCTTGGATAAGACTGTCAAACGCTTTTTGTATGCCAAGGAAGATGACAATGAACTGAAAACCTAAATCAGTTGTTTCAGTTAGATGGTTAAGGAAGTCAACTTGACAGGTAACACACGAGCGGAACTTCAGAACGCCATGCTGTGAAGGTGAGAGAAGTTTGTGCGACAATAGGAACGAAACCAAATGTTCCTTATCAATTCTCTCCAGCATGCCTGAGAGAATGGCTATATGACTAATGGGGCTGTAGTTCCGGATGCCAGTTTTCTACCCGGACTTATGTCTAGGTACAACGGTAGCCGTTTTCCAATGTTCGGGATATTGACCAGACTGGAGAGACAAAGAGAAAATATTCAATAATATAAGAGGGATATCATCTCCACCATGTTTGACTAAAGCAGAAGAGATCCCATCGGGGCCGGGTCTGTAGGATGGTCGTAGACAGGCTATCATACATTTTATCGTAGTGACACTAAGCTCGATTGCTGAGATTTGCTCAGAGAAGTTAATCGTGGTTGACAATTCCAGCGTTCCTTTTTCTTGACTAAAGGATTCAACAAAATATGAGCTAAAGGCTTCTGTCATAGCAATCGGGGAAGCAATGCGTTCGTCTGCAGGCATGTCGAAGTGGGAGGGTAGGTCATTTTGCCGCCTCTCCTTTTTCAATAATGCAGTCAAAAGTTGACTTGTATTACTACTATTTACAAACAGTTGTTTTGCCTGCATGAGAAGGGGGTGCTGTTTCATGTCCGTCCCAGTTATAAGGCTTTCGAGTCTCAGTAATATGCTGAAGTCGTGAGTACGGTAATTTGTTCGAGCTAGCACTCGTGTTGATCTACTCATGAGTAGGGGAACTTTGATTTGAAAACCTGAGAGTTTGTCGCATCAATGTGCAAAGCAGATAGTCATCTAGAACTTTGAAAAAGTATTGGACTGCATTTTCAGTTTGTTGGCATCATCAGTAGTACTCATCCATCGGATCCATCAGGATTCGAACCCATGACTACCAGCGGATTCCCAGCAAGCCAGCGGGTTATGCCACTGAGCTACACTGGATCGGATCTGACGTCATGCTTTGCACGCCAACCACGACATAACCGGTCTAATCCTTCACTGCCATGCAAGTTACAAACGTTGCAGAGGACAAGGTTGGCCCCGAAAGGCACGAGGTTCACTGTCAGGTTCACTGACATAGCGTTTGGAAACTGTTGACGCTAATATATTTCGATGTACTTATGAGTAGGGGACTTGTGATATAAATAATTGAGAGCTCCTGGACGCAGGTTCCAAATCAGTTAGTCGTCCACATGACCAGAAAACCACTGAATCTAAGCTTCGACCTATCACGTATCATCAACAGTGCACATCGATCAGATCCATCAGGATTCGAACCCATGACCACCAGCGGCTTACACCGCCAGTCAGCAGCTTATGCCACTAGGCCACAGGAGACACTGTCGGACCGCCATCATTTAAAAGGCAACTACGATATAACGCGTCATATCCTCCACTGCCATGCAAGTTAGGAACCTGTGTGAGACTATCTATTTTTGGAGGCAGCTGCGACGAAATTCCAATTACCTGCATCAAAAATCCCCTACTCATGAAAAATTCGTATTTGTGCCATTAACAGAAAACAACTAATTGTCTCAGAAATGTGTTACAAACTTTCTTGAATGCCTGCACCAAAATAGTGCTTAAGAACAGCATCTTCTGTCTACAGGGAGGAGTAGCAGCATATTACCAAGGAACTACCACTTGTCTTTTCGCTATTTTGTGTTTTATTTACCAGCAACCAGAAGTCAAATGAGAGCTTTACCATTGTGCAAATCATCATCAACAACACGGTTATCTGAAAGTGAGAAACACACTTCAAACACTTCGCTGAATACATAAAGCTAATCTGTACGAAAAAGTAAGAAATAGAGAATTATAAAATGCAAAACGCAGGCTACACACTGTTCAGCATCATAGTATGCTTCACGAGAGAACGTAGTTCGAGGGGGAAGATCTGCAGTATGCGGATGGAGAAAGAAATTCAAAACACTAACGCCACTGAAGTCGACTACTTGCCATGTCAACTAGTGTATCCAACCAGACGTATTCACCATACTTCAGATCCCATCCTTGCAGTCGGGAGACACACACTCCTGGCGGCGAGCAAGCGGCACACGTCGCAGGAATCGGTGAGCTGGCATGCGCAATACATGGCCCAACGATCGGAGTCTGGTGCGTGATATAACGGTGCTGAGCGATCCACTCTCTCTTCCTGCACCAACAACGAGACGCCGAAAATGCTTATTGCTCTCGCGGTGCTCCCAGCAAACATCAGCTAAGCTGCGCAGGAGCGATGAGCAAATGTAAGTGGTCTCTAATATCTCTCGGGTTAATGGGCCAGGTTTCGCAATCGTACAGGAGGGTTGAACGGACGGCTGCATTGTAAACTCTGCCCTTCGGGGCGAGGGTGATGTGGCGCCGCCATCACAAGTGGCGACGACTGGCAAAAGCGTCTCGAGAATTTGAAATATCGTTTTTATCTCATTCTCTACTCCACCGGTGCTGTTACAGCTGTCATGATATTTGTATTCCTCGACTACTTCTAGCTGATAGGCACGATCAGTCAGCGCTGGGGTGGGCCCCTGCTAAGCTTGGTTGACTTTGCACTTTGAGGGGGCAAAGCATTTGCCGAAATGAGTGACAAGCAATGTTAATTTGCCCATTACTAATTAGTACATTTGAAAGTTGTCACAGATAAGGGCAATGTCGTCGGCCTTCTCCTACTCAAGAAGTCGATCGCATGGAAGCAGCTCCACACTTTGCAGGTTACATCCAGTGAACGCAGTCTCCATGCTTTCGTCAATGGCAAGCTTAAAGAAGAAAAGCGACAGTGGACGTCCTTGTCTCACACAGCTGGAGATAATGAATGGCGTCGACAGTTTTTCGTTAGCCCTCACTCTTCCCTAACTACGCGAGGAAAACCATTATTCAAAACAAACTCATAAATCAGGCGTAACGCATGTCCCGATATTTTGAAATTTGACGTCTTCAAGTGTATACATATATATTACAATGGGCGTGTAAATATATAGATCTCACACGACCGACCAACCGCGTCCATAATCCGCGCAACCTTTTGTTTAACTTTCAGGTCTGCATTAGTGCTGCGTCAACCGGATCGCAGGACGCAATCAACGTAATTAACGCCCCTCTCATTCCAAGTTTACAAGGTTTGACGCCTTTACACTACGCTTCCATGCTACCAGGTCCCGATGGTCTTCAAATGGTACAAATACTTCTAAATGCTTCCGCGGATCCAAATGCTATGGCCGGTGAAGATTTGAGTTTCACCATATCTGACATGAAGGAAGTTAGCCCGGAGGAGAATGATCCATCACACTTTGCTGCAGTTTCAGAAGCCAACGTATGTAATGGTTTAGTAGTTGATGCTTGCATGGGTGCGGCACGATGAATTACTTTTTTGATTCTGTGAGTGATTTTTGCCTCATCTACTGGTCTTAGCTTGGAGCATTAGGACAATGGTTTATGACGAGAGAGAAATCATATGCTTAGTAAATTTCTTAGGGTGGTCAGGCAGAATTACAAGAGCAAAGGGTGTACGTATAAGCACTATACAACCCACATCAGTGAAGCGACAACAAGGTCATACTAGAGATGGCATTTTGGGAATGGGTTGGCACTATGCAAAACCGTATGAGTAGCTAATAATTCTTCTAACGGACAATTGGTCTGTTTACCTGCATGCGTCAAGTTCCATACAATTGAGTGATTATTTCAAACGAGCTGTCATCTAAGCTGAATTTAGGGAGCACGCTGTGTGCTTGGGTTGCGACTCGCTACCTCTATTGAGACCTCGTCTCACTTTGAGGTAAACCTCGGTCATTTCGATCTCGAGGACCAGATCCTGAATGGGTATAAAGTTGGATATATAGTTGTGGTCTAAAGCAGCTGCTACTGCACCAATGGTAAGTAGTACCACAGGAACTGGACGGTAACGGGCCAGGAGTTTTACAATGTCACAACACCACAACGCTTGAGCGTCACAACTGTATGGCACTAATGATTGGCACAGAAGCCGCGCACCATGTGACCTCAAGAGGAGTATTCGAAGATAAATGGAAATATTGTTGATCGGAGCTGATGTATCTGGCTGAGAATATTTCGCACTACAAGTAATTCTGTTCGCACCTTTGGTTCTTGTAATAGGATTACATTTCACAGTATCGCGTTCGTGCAAGAATGTGCAAGGAGCTGCGCGTTACGTTCCTTTGCTTTCTGAAGATGGCTCGATTGACAGCGCAAACAATTTAGTTGGCAGGCTAGCATGTAAAGTTATTTTCATACCTAATCTGGGCGGCTGCATCTCTTGCATATTTTTTAATAGCTTCCCTTTAAGTTAAAAGCTAAAGTGAGCCTCAAAAGGTGGCGACAGGTGTTATGAAAGCCACTCAGCATCGGGGCGTTGTTACGTTGATAGGCACCAGCAAATTTGATGAGCACTGCTGCGTAAGAAGCCTGCCATTTTTAGCAGAATTGATTCAAATTGTCCAGGAAGGCTAGTTGTGGACTGTGTAGCCCACACATTCTGCAAGCACCCGTTCATTCATCTTATCCTCTGTTTCCGCTAAAAATCTGTTCGCAAGCCATTATTGTGGGCGAAAACCACAAACTGCTTTTGTGGTCGGTTGGTTTATTCTAGTGAATCAATCGTGACTACAGAGTCCGACGCCTTCTACAGCATTGATGATGTGAGCGGCGAAAGATGACCTCTCAAAGTGTGCCCGCGCGACGCCTATACGCTTTTCACACTGGTTACGGTGTACAATATCTTCAAACGAAACTCTTGTGTTACATTATTTGCTTAGGTGTGTTTAAACTTTGAAGGTGCATGACAGTGTTCACGTTTCGACTAGATCACTAAAGTAACTGTACCCAAGAACCGTTAGTCGCTGTCACTCGCTGGGGTTTCAAATACGGGTCACACCTACCAAACTGCGACATCCATAACCTGTTGCCTAAGTCTGTATGTGTTGCGGAAACGTCAAGTGATGCTGCAAAAGCACGCCACTGCGCCTCGGACTCCAATACGTGGCATGCGCCAAATGGCGCCCATTTTCGACCCACAAAGCAACAGTACCCAAGCCAGTCAGTGCGCAGCCATGCCAAAGTAAACGATGGTCTTTTGTTAATCAGTTTCTCAGCATGGTGAGTCGAAACGTTGTGTCAACCGTTTTTACACTTCGTGGGTCGTGAAATAACTCTCCAGGATCTGTCTCGCCATCCCATTGTCTCTCGTGTGGCTGATAGGTAACTCATTGGGTTGCGGGAGCCAACATTTAACTACATATTTCCCCGATTAATTACATTCATAATAACATTGAATTACTCCCTTAGGGTCTGAATTGCATCCGTAAGCCAAGTGCACATAGTCCTTAAAGCATCTGAATTGCAGTCAGTATCTGTAACGTAATTTCTCGAAAGGTGTATAGGGTGAGCTAGGCAAGCAAAAGCGGGAAGCAAATCATTGTGATAGAAAGCAGCACCGCATTGATCACATTGAACATACACCCCGAGAAGCACACACAGTCACCGAACAGTCAACCGAATCGTAGTACGGAAAGTGTGAAGCGAAGAGAACATGCGAAGGTGGGACAAGCACGTTTATCAACAACCGAAAACGCAAGTGCGACAGACATTGAAGCCAACAGAAAAAAGAGACAAATGTCAAAGAGTTGGTGAGTTGATAAAATGGTTCAGCACGTCTTCATGCGTTTGTGGATTTTCGTGAATCTGTAAAGGGAAGGTACTTTCTGAGAGCACTCATAGCGGTTTCAATTTCGTTACATCTTTCCGACGCGCCATGCGTGCAGTGTGTTTCTAATTAAGCCAACCCAAATCAAACAATGACGGCTGCTGTAATAAAACTTGCATGGGTTGATGTGTGCGGTGAAGACGCGTGGGCGTTCTAACCTCCATACAGCAACGAGTGCCTACTCTGAAGCTAGTTCCACGCTGGTTAGGGACGCAAATTTGTCCAATCTCGCGTGGTGAGATTGAGTGGAGGGTGGAACGGGCGCAAGTGGACTAGCAGGTAAGCAAAGTCATACATTGTGCAGGGCACTAGTGCGTGGGCTGCGAACACGGCCACGCGACACCCCAGTAGTAGTAGTAGTAGTAGTAGTAGTAGTAGTAGTAGTAGTAGTAGTAGTAGTAGTAGTAGCAGTAGTAGTAGTAGTAGTAGTAGTAGTAGTAGTAGTAGTAGTAGTAGTAGTAGTAGTAGTAGTAGTAGTAGGTTGGCACTGTGTTCCAGTTCACAAGTTGCGCAGCCTATGGGTGAGGACGACCTACCAGCGCTCGGGTTTGAAAGGCATACGATTGCACTGCGTCCGGATAGCAAGACGGCCACAGATGCGTAACTACGAATGATCAGGGCCTGTGGTGCCAACATGTAATGACGTACTTGCGAGTAAAGGGACAAAAGTGGCTTGCGCGGTACGGAAATTTAGAAGAGAGAGACGCCTTGATCGGCGTTCTTCTTAGGGGATTACTGCCGAAATACAACAGCGGCCATTCTGTTACAGGACGAATAGGCACGCCATTGTTACAGTGTGCGTCGCTTACCCTTATAGTGGATGCAGTACACCAACTTGACAGTTCCTGAATCAAATGATAAACAGCGACGGGGTTTTCGGCAGTCTGCATCGGTTGATCTGTGCGCATCTGCGCGGGTGGCGGGACATTAAATTGCGCAGCTTAATGGGTAGGACGACCTAACTGCGTTCGCGCTTGAAAGCGATATACGATTACACAAGTTTGCTGTGGCCGGATATCAAGACAGTCACGCGTGCTTGACTGAGAATGATCAGGGCCTGTGTTGCCAAAATTCCATGAGGTGCTTGCTAGTAAAGCGGCAAAAGGGGGTCTGAGCAACTTGAAAATGAAATGCGGATTAGACAATGGTCGTTTGTACTTATGCCCACAAACGTCGTGTACAGCTTAAATGGCAGCCGTACCACGTGCAGCACAGAACTGCACCTAATATGAGGCGGACTAATGAGATACCATCCGTTCTCATTTGCTGGTTTATACGCTATCGGATGAGGAGGGAAATTAGCCGACCTGGCGGCTTGCAAACAGTGGACTTATGCGGCCCCTGTATATGCACGATTGCCATCCCAACCGGTGCTCATTAATAACACAAGCACGCCAAACCAATTAATGGGGGAACGGTAAATATCACACCCTTCGGTGTGTTCGAGCCTAGGTTGTACAAAGTCACTATCCGTGACGAAATGGCTAACCGTACACCGCCGGCAGTTTTGACTACCTTCGCCCGCAATGATGTCTAACCTTGGGAAAATAATTTTTTGTGCAAAAAATGCAAACCAATCAAAGTATTTCATGGTGTAGCTGGAGGCCAACAATTTGCTTTCGATACGAAAGCTTCGTCAGGTCAAGTGAACCAGCGGATGATTGGTAAGGCTTTCACAACAAAAAGAGATAATAAATGCGGTTATCAAGATGGAAGCAGGGTGTTAATGACCTTACATCGTAAAGTATCTTTTTAAGTAGCACATCAGGGATGGTAATACTCCAGGTGGTTCCCTTTACGAGATCATCGCACATAACTCTCTGGCTGCTATGGGAGTAGGGTTGGTTTGGTGCTCGCGCTTGACCCCAGCTACGTCCGCCAACGCATCTTAGACTGGCCGGGTAAGGACAGCTCGCCACACACTGGATAACTCCGCTCCAGCTATTCTGGTTACGCAGCTGTACGCTTTGGCAATTTCCAACCCCACAACCGCCAGCCTTTAGGTGGGGATCGCAACTACTAATGAGTTCGACATTATCCAAGTCGATTTCCTGCCCTGTGTCTAACGCGCACATCCCCAGGGCCGAATCTCTCAGTAGAACTCGGTGGCCGTGACGTGTGCCTCCTGTGTTCTGCGAACGTCGTACGCTATTCTATAACGGCTTGGCCAATGTACACTTGTGCACAATCTTTGCAGCTAATTTTGTGGACGCAGTTGGTCGTCCTATCTGCGGGGAGTGTCCTCAATGGCACCACTATCGAACCGACCGTTAACTCACCATTAATTTTTCTTTGTATAATAACTTTCGGATGACCTCTGAAGTTCCCTCTTTATAAGGACAGCCAGCAAAAGTGGTTGATCGGACCAATGCGGAAACTGTACTTTGTACTTTAAAGGTGTGAGTCACATGCCGAGGCGTGCAGCGTTATGCGTCCGTCTAATCAGTTTACTTACATAGCCACTAGGTTAGACACAAAGAGGGCTATGTCGCCCACATACACAAAGTTTGTCAGTTGGTCACCTAGCAGACTCTCCAGTACTATACCTATGTACTTCACTGATGTAGCACAGAGCAATCAATCATCGTCAA